TGTCTTTAATCCTTGCTGCTTTGGAGACAAAGGAAGGAAGATTGCAGCTTGAGACCAGTCTAGGCAGCACTAGTATAATACCCTCCCTGAGAAACAAACTAAAACTCAAGAAGGGCTGACTTAACCATCATGGCTCAAGTGGCAAAGCACTGGAAGCCATGAGTTCAGTCCCTAATACCATTATATTTTTTCATTAATTCTTGGAGCATTCTAAATCCATTCTGATGCCTGTTTTCAAGGACTTAAGAGGTGTATATATTGTTTTAGTACTGATTCATTACATTAAATATATGTATTATGATAACATGCACTGCATTATACAGTAAATCAGATATATATACTTACAGTTGGTATTGAATGTGGTACTTATGGACAACATAAGCTGTTTTTCTTACGATAATGCTATATGCAGAGCTTTACAATAACCCTGTGAATTTCCTTCTGTGTGCTTATTTACCTTGTCTAGTTGGGTGCAGTTTTGTTTTCCTATATTATCAGTAATACAATGCTTTGTTTCTTTTCCATTATTTATTTTTAAGTAATTGTACAAAGGAGTTGCCATTCAACAAATTGATTTATAAATACAGTGTACCTTGATCAATGTCATTCTTTTCATCATTCTCCCCCACCTCTCCCAACCCCACCCCTTTCCTCGATTTTATTAATTTTGTAGAATATGCATTGAATTTTATAACTGCATTCTCTTCATTTGCCTACCCTTCTCCTGTTGATCCCCACCCACTGCTTTCACATACCCATTTCCTAGTGTCTATTTTGTTGGACTGTGATTTGGTCTTTCTAAGGAATTACACCATTTCAGTTCTTTATTGAGAAAGAGATGCAAGACTCTAGTTTGACAAATAATTCCAGGCCTACTATGTGAAAACAAATATATGAGAGACTCTCTTAAGAATTACAAACACACGCAGAAAATGCCAAAAGCTATGTACATATGACCATATAAGATGATATAAGCGAAATAAACCCCAAAATAGGGACACAAATATCTTTTTTTCTTTCTTGCTATTGTTTCTAACGTATTTATAATGTACCATGTGATTTTTTTATTTCTTTGTATGTTCTTCCCCCACAGTATAACCCCTGTTTTCACTGTATTTGATTATTTGATGTCGGTGCCCTGCATCTTGTATATACACTTCTCTAATTCGGGAAGGGGGGGGAAACAAAATGCTTAAATAAGGATACAGGCTGACCCATTGTAGCAATGAGATTTACAAGACACTATGTTAGGGAGGTAGGGAAGAAAGGGATGGTAGGGGAAAAACAAAGGAGGGGGTAACTGCTCCGTAAGAAATGGACTCATTACCTTGCTCATGTAACTGTAACCCCTCTGTACAGTATCCTTACAATAAAAAAATATGTTTAATAAAAAGAAAAAAATCAAAGTGTCATTGTAACATCTGGTGATAACAAGAAAATGTTTCCATATTCTATTTGAAGTCCTGCTATGTATTGTAACTCACATTTAAAGATTTGAAAGATTCTAATTGTCTTACATTATCTTAAATTATCTTTGCTTTTATATTTACTGTTTTAACTAAAGCTCAGAATTAGAATGATTACCTGTGCTGGCTAAGACTGTACTGCTGTTGGAGTGAAAAATAGGTACAAAAGTTTTTTGAAGGGAGGGTAAATCTAGTGTTCTGTGTCACAGTAACGTAACTGTAGCCTAACAATACTTAAAACTATCTATATGAAAGGAATTAAAAGGCTTTCAACACAGAAAATTCTACACAGAAGTGATGTGAGAATATAGAAATACTGATTGTTCTGATGGAATCATTTCACATTGTATACATATATTCTTTCTTATTCATTGAATAGATATGTTGAATTCTTATACTACTATACCCTTTAAATATGAATATTATACCAATTAATCATAAAATGGATTTACTACTCTCCAGACAAACTATTTTAGTCATAGAAAAAAATAAAATAGAGTATGGAAATAGATAAATAAGAAATTGAGATAACTGACATGTTTGTTAGCTACTGGAATTCATCCAGGACTTGCATTACTCCATGCTTTTGATGGTGATGCTTTTTAAAATCAACTCCAAAGATAGACAAGCAAAAGGATAATCCAGAAGCACAGAGAAGCTGCTTGTTGTCTCAGTTACAATAATCAAGATGAACAATTTTTACTTTTCTCTTAATTAAGTGACTAAAGCAAAAGACAGTAAAATAATTATTGGTCTTCTTACTTTTAGTAAATAAATCTATTGCATTTAAAAAATCTTGCCCCTTTTGTGCCATATGTCAAAACATGCTATGAGAAGATTCACAAGCTAACTATAAAATGTTGATGGTCTCTGTGTTTTTCATGATTAGCTATCCTCCTACTTTACAGTGGCAGCATATACTAGGGCATCGGAAGGTGTTTTGCAAGAGTTCTAGAAAGTGACAGATGGTCTTTAAGATCACTCTGAACTACAATGACTCAATCCGGACAATTACCCTGAAGCAATTACCCTGGGTTAAAAAGAACCCAGTGAAAATAGTATGCATGCAAGCATATATATGTATATATATATATATACACACATATATATGTATATATATACACACATATATATGTGTGTGTATATATAATTGAGGGAAAATTTTCAACTTTAAATTACTCTAGATGTAAATTTATTAAATATAAGCTGTGGCCATTTTATTTAAGTTTATGGTATGTAAATGCCAACTTCAAATGCCATCTAGTAGGTTACCAATAAGGTTAACATAAAAATGAAAGTTAATAGCAGTGTGTATCATTTGCCAATATGAGTCCTCATGCAAAGTCTGTGTGCATACACACATGATACACTCACTTGCACCTTAGTATCTGTTAAGGGCCTATAAGGAAACCCCTGGAGTCAGCTGTGCACCAGCTTTTGAAAATTACTTTCCATATTCTCATACACAGTTCACTTTGCTTAGGCATTGTTTGCTTGAAGTACAAGGAATTTCCCCATGTTTCCATCTCAGTCTTTATTAAAGGGAATTTTTTCTTTATTATATGGAGATATTGAATAGATTTTCCCAGGTAATGTCTGAAAAAAAATTTTTTAAATATGATTGGGGAAAGTTTAACAATATCTATGGAAGAAGTTTTCCCATTGAGGCAACAATTCCACTCCTACCAATCTGTCTAATCAACGTATTTAAAGGATGACTATAGACATATTTGCAGAAAATAGTTTTATTACATAACTTTTTAACGCCTACTACTAAAAACTAAACTAAATTCTATGAAAAGGTGATTGGTCAAATTAAATCCGTACAGGAAATTATGTCCAATCCGTCCTCCAGAGTAAAGAAAATTTCTTATATACTGATAAAAAATTTCCAAGATATATTTTAAAGTGGCCAAAGCAAAGTGGCAAAAAGGTATAATGTGATACTATATGCGTGTTTAAGTATACACACTTATCTATGTGCAATATAAGATTTATATAAAATGTGAACTTTGTATTACAATTAAGTAGTATGAGATGCGATAATGATTAGTATCATGCCTGCCTAGTACATTGAGCAATATGTTTTGCTATTTTTTTAACTTGATAAAATAGTTGAGGAAGAAAAACTATGGAAGCTTTTACTTATTTTTCATATTTGATAATTATCTGAAATTTTTACAATAAGCATATTATTTCACAAATAAGAGATAAAGCCATTTATTTTGGGGAAGAGAGATGCATTCATGCTGCAAAATGACATTTTTCCCTACTTAAGACATTGAAGAGTTCCTAATATGTGCTCAGCAGTAACTCAACTAATCTTTTTGACATTGTTTTTGCGGGGAGGATCCTTCCTATGATAGATAAAAGCAAAATTTTAAAGGTTTCCATTATTTCTCACATTTATATATAACATATATATTTATATATATACTCACTTTGAAATTATATTGCTTTCTTCATGTTTTAGGGTGCATATGTATCAAAGTAAAGGTTACATGTGCATATCAATCATTTAGGCAATTGTTTTCTTTCAAGAATTGACAATTTAAGGAAGCAAGGCAAAGAATAACTGGAAATAATTATTGCTTAATTACCTAGTAAAGCAAAGCTTCCTTATTAGCAAATAAGAATCACTAATCAAATCATTGAAACATTCCCATGACCATACGCCATTTATTAAGATATCTCTTTAGAATTATTATTCTGAGGATTCTTAAGGAACTTCTTATGCTAGATTATATGTTTAAAATTGTATATCCTCAATTATTTTCATGTGTTTTATGAATTATATCCTTATGATGCCTATGTTAAATTGCATTAAAATTAATTTTAAAATTATGGGAAAGTTGCCTGTTTGAAAACTGTGGAATTATTTTTTCTGGATATAGTCTGTGTAACCTAGAACTTTGACTAAATTGGTTGATTCTTTCTGAAGTCATTGTGGGATTTATATCTAATGTATGGGGCTAATCCTTATGATTTTGATGATATAATATCATCTTGCAAGGAAAGCTTATCTTTTTCTTAAGCTGTAATGCTTTAAGTATTTGAAGCATCAGTTGTACAAAGCAGTATGGTATACAATATGTTTAATATTATTGGGGAAGATGTTTAACATAGTTTCAGAGTAAGATGGAATCCATTGGATTTCAGGGACTCCTAGCTGTATCATTTTGGGTAAATTACTCCATCTCTCTTCCTTGATGTACACATCCATGTAAAATACAGATATACACAATAGTAGTAGAACTATACTTTCAGGGGTATTTTAAAGGTATAAGAATTAAACAAGTGTTTATAAAGTATTTGTACATATAGTTAGAGTTGAATAAATACGGCTACTGTTATTTTGGTTATCTAGTAAGTGATAACACTTGTATTGCCAAATAAATTAATTACATATTAATGATTTAAAAGAAAACTTAAGATTGTACTACAATCTTAAGTGTTACTTGTAAGTTTTATTTACTAAAATACAAAAATTAATTTTATAGTAGTTTGATTATTTATTTCTTGTTTGTATTACAGTTACAAATTATAATACTGTGGTAGAAACAAATTCAGACTCAGATGATGAAGACAAACTCCACATTGTGGAAGAAGAAAGTATTACTGATGCAGGTGATTGTGAAGGTGGGGTGCCCGATGATGACCTGCCCACAGACCAGACAGTGTTACCAGGAAGCAGTGAGCGAGAAGGGAGTGCTAAGAATTGCTGGGAAGATGACGGTAAGTTTAATTTTTACATAATTCTAGTCCTGTAATTCTTTAAAATTTATTAACTGAGAAGATAAATTTGATGAAAGATTTTAAATGAACAGTAAACTTACATGTATATTTATCAATATTTGGTATCCTGTTTTCTTATAAGAAAGTAGATTATGAACAGAATAATAAAGTTTCTTTGACTATTTATATAGTGACCAAAATATATTAAATTTTATTGTTTTTCTAACCATAATCAAGCTTCACATTTTCCATATGTTGTTAGTATAACTGAATCTACCTTTAATTTCATATTATGAACTGCACAGTAAAGTAATAGTATTTTGGCATAGCAAAAATTAATTCAGTGTGCCATAATATCAGACACAGAAAACCATGAAAGTGTTTTAGTGTTTGTAAGCCTTTCTAAATATCAGAATCTTCTAAGTGATGTGGTATTTTTACCTGCTTTACTTTTTATTAAAGAATTTTTACTTTCACTCACGTAAATGTTTTAGCCTATCATGCCAAAATTCAAGCCCCAGTGTAGTTTTTAAAAATGTGTGTTGGGGACAGATACCATGAACTAAAGAAGTTGTGTATTTCTTTTTTTTTAAATTATAAAGATACTGTACAGAAGGGTTTCAGTGAGTAGGGTAATGTATTGTTACCCCTTTGATTTTCCCCCACCATCACTTCCCTCTCCACCTTCCAAACTCCTCCCTCCCTCCCCCTCCCCCCCCACATTGTAAAGTTCGTTTTCAGAAGTTGTATATTTCTAACAAGGGCATCAGCAAAAGCACATGAGAAGTCTAATCCAAAGTTGGTCACGATAAAGCTATTCCAGCAAGAGTCAAATTCAAGGAAGACATCTATACAGGGTATCAAACTAAGGTTAGAAAACTTGGGGAAATAGATAAAAAGTATATAGGTCAGAGAATCTAGATAATAATAAATGGAAATTTAGATAAAAGTCTGAATAATAAGCACAAGATAGAAGTTAAGATTTCTATAATATTCTAGATCTTAGAGTTTAATAAGCAACTTTTGAAAAATGTAAGCAACCCTCTTCCATTCTGTACATTTGTTCATTTAGTAGGCTCTACTTAAATAAGACTTTATATATATATATATATATCCATATATATATATACTTGAAGTTTAGTGGAAAATAAAGATAAGTTACAAATACAGTTTTGTGTAGATGCAAATTTAAAGTTGTGACAGAACATTACTCAGAGAATCCCTAGAAGAATTTATGAGTAAACAGAGATGATCTTGATACATAATGAACTGATAGGGATTGGGAAGGTGGCATAGTGGTAGAGTGCCTGCCTAGCATGCGTGAAGCTCTGGGTTAGGTTCCTCATTACCACATAAACAGAAAAAGCACTCTGGCTCAGGTGGTAGAGTGCTAGCCTTGAGCAAAAGAAAGAGAAGGAGGGGGAAGGAGAGGAGAATAAGAGCTGTTAGAAATTACTGGAGCACCACACTTCAAATTAGGAGGGGTCAAAACAATAGTCATAGAAAAAATAATTAAAGAAGTAAACAAGGGAAAGTGTATGAAGTACTTTGTTTACTAAGTTAAGGAATTTGAATTTCATCCTAGAAGTTACAAGGAGAGCTTGACTGATAGGAAACAATAATAAATCTGCAACAACACAGAAAAAAAAAACTTTAAAAGGCTTCAATGAAGATGCTGCAATAATTTGGGCAGTGCTTAGAGTTTTGAACCAAAGCAGTTTCTCTTGGGATGAAAATTGAACATTGTGTGTGTGTGTGTGTGTGTGTGTGTGTGTGTGTGTGTGTGTGTGTGTGTGTGTGTGTGAAAAATACAGAAGGTAGACTACGTAAGAATCAGTTAATTCTATGAGATGGTAACAGAGGGACACTGGCATGACGCCTAGGTTTCTAAAAAGTAAAACCTAGAGAATTTGCTTATTTATTATGAGAGCTAGATAATGCTGGAGCTGTTAACCTGTTAAGTGTTAATATTCAGCACTAAAAGGAATCCTTCCTATATTTCCTATCTGTGGCCCAAATTGATAAATTCATGTGATTATTCCTAAGTCTTAAGAGGTAAGTAAGTAAGCAATGATAAAGAAATTGACTCGCATGAAAGGAGAAAGATTAAAAATCAATGAAGAGGTTCTGTTTTTGAAAATAGGTTGCGATACATTATTTGCACCTGATCTCCCATTGTAAACAACTAATATGCTAAATTTAACTTAAAATTTTTATCACAGTTTAAAAGAGACAAATAGATAACAAAGCATTAAAATGTCAAACCCTAACAAGTAGAGAAATCCATAGAAGACTATTTGCTTCCAAAGATTTGGTTAATGAGGATTATAGATACTGTGTTTTTCAGGTCTCTGACAGAAAGCAAAGCTTAGAATCACCAAAGCATTTAATAGTAGATCTTTCCTATAGTATGAATTCCAACTTGACTATAAGAATGAACTAAAGCAAACCCTCTGCTGTCCTTTCATCTTCCAAAGGCAGCAAGCAAAGTCCTTTCAGCTACATAATGGGAAACTGGAAGATTATCTCTCTGAGCAGTAACAACCATAAGCTGTCTTGCACTGATTTCATCCCCCAATCCACATTCTACATACCTGACAAACTCAAGTTGTATTTGAGTTTAAACTAAAACTGCTACACACAACCACAGGCACTAACAACAACTAAACAAAATCATTTTAATAAAATAATTTAGCAAGTAGAATGTAAAAAAAGAAGCAGAAATTCTGCCATAAAAACTTTTAGCTATGCCGCTGGGAAGGTGGCTCAGTTGTAGAGTGCTTGCATGAGGCCGTGGGTTCAATTCCTCAGCACCACATAAGCAGAAAAAGCCGGAAGTGGGGCTGAGGCTCAAGTGGTAGAGCACTGGTCTACAGCTGAAGAACTGGGGGACAGCGCCCAGGCCCAGAGTTCAGGCCCCACAACCGACAAAAAAAAAAAAACTTTTAGCTACTAAAATTATGTGATTATGATTTTTTTAAAAAGCTTGTCATGTTTAAAGACATGAAGAAATAATGATTGATTTTTTTCAGAATTAATGAATTACACACAAAATTACAAACTCAAGAAACACAACAAATCTCAAGAGGAGTAAATAGGAGAGAGAGTTATGTGAACAAATGACCAAATATTAGCTTACAGTACTTGTCCTCTGAGAGCATTAATTTTTGCAATTACACACAAAACTAGCTTTACGATGTGAGCCCTGAAGTCTTGTCAAGATGCTAGCACTCTAGTGTAGTGCAGAGAAAAAAAACTATAAGCAAAAGAAGCATAGAGTGGTCAGTGATATTCTGCAGTAGATACAAGCACATGAAACAATGTTCACACATCTGTAGCATAATATAAATCAAGGGTTTAGATTACATTGGAAAATATCACATACTACTATCATGTTAAATATATAATAAGTACCCTGGAATCTCAAATTACAAATTTCTCAAAAGGATTACAGAGAAGGAACATTATTTTTGTAAATAGCAAATTAGGACATGTTATTTACCAAAGACAAATAGCATTTCTGGAGTAATGAAGTATTATTAACTTAAAATAATACCAACTTTTGATTTGCTTTATAGAAAATGGAGTATGATTTGTCAATGTTCCCACATATTTATATTAATTTTATTAGATGTTGTGGCTTATTTGGGAGCCAGTGGCTCCCAAATGTAATCCTAGCTATTAAGGAGGCTGATATCTGAGTGTTGCGGTTCATAGCTAGCCAGAGCAGGAACCCCCCCCCGCCCCCCGCAAAAAAAAAAGCTGGAAGTGGAGGTATAGCTTAAGTGATAGAGCACTACTAGCCTTCAGCAAGAAAGCTCAGGGACAGTGCCCAGGCCCTGAGTTCAAGTCCCCGGACTGTCATCCACACACACAAAAAAAGAGATTGTGGTTCAGCCCCAACTTGTGCCGTGTCAGTTTAACTATTTTAAGTATTTACACCTTGAGCTTTTGAGACACTTGTTTTAACAAGAGTTCCTCAAACCTTCAATATAAGGTCATATATATAAAAGTCACCTGATTATTTGAAATGTTTAACATGTTAGCTGTTTCTAAATGTTTTGATATTGTTGAGTTTTTAAAAATCCCAATGGTGCTGGGGCTGGGAAGGTGGCTCAGTGGTAGAGTGCTTGCCTTGCATGCATGAGGCCCTGAGTTTGATTCCTCAGCACCACATAAGCAAAAAGAAAAAAGCCAGAAGTGGTGCTGTGGCTCAAGTGGTAGAGCACTAGCCTTGAGCTGAAGAGCTGAGGGACAGCACCCAGGCCGAGTTCAGGCCCCATGACCCGACCCAAAAACAAAAACAAAAAAAATATCCCAATGGTGACAAAGAGAATTAAGTCTGTAGAAATGTTCACTAAATACCAATGTGGTGAAAACTTATTTATCTCAAGACAAATATTTAAGACTGATCTTACTGTCCATAATAGTAAAGATTTCTTGGGCACAAGTGATGAGAAGAATGCAAAGAATGATGAGAAGAATACAAATTGTTGGCCAGGTTCTACTTATTCCGAAAGATATAGTTTAATTTATTCTTCAGAATTTTTCCCAGACATACATGGTGTGTGACACAGGAAAAAAAATATTAGCGCATTTTTTTAGTTCACTGAATTACTGTCTTCAAATCCCCTTTTCCATCTGTAAAATGAAAATACAGGACTTGATAACCCCGGGGTTTTTTCAGCTCTAATTATAAAAGTTCAATTTGTATTCATGTGCAGAACTAATGTTTACATACTTCTGAATATTTCAGTGTTTGAAGGTGACATTAATGAAGAAATCTGAGCTCCCCACAAGGCTGAACCTCAGATGTATATTGTACTTTCTTTGGCTATTAAAGTATATAGACAAAATATTGTTACACAGAGTATTTCTTTTTACATACCTTACTCATAATATATACATTTATTACTATTTGTATTTCATTTTTCTTCATGTTGTGAATATAAGTACTGTCATGGTTATATAGGTAAACAAAAAAATATACACAGAAATAT